CTGCTAGATACAAGGAGTTTCACACATAACATTCAAATCAGGGTAGCCAGTAAGGCATCGAGTTAGGTAGATATTTCAGTGGAACAGAGGAGTCAGAAATACATATAGGATAGGAATCCCTAAGTAATGGTGCATGAAAACATGACACTTGAAATCAATTGGAAAAGGATGAATTTTCAAGTAGAACCATCTGGGAAAAATAAAGGTGCATTTTCTATGAATCAACTCTCTGATATGGTAACAATGAGCTAATTAACTTACAAAGAGAAAAGGCTTCTTTTGCTCACAGCTTTAGGGTTTCAGTCCATAACGAGATAACTCATTGCTTTTGAGTGTCTAATGAGGGCTGGATAGGAGTAAGAGAATGCCCGTGGCAAGGTGAACTGGTCGTCTAGTGGCCAGGAAGGAAGAGTCGAAGTAATGACTGGAGTCCAGAAGCCCGCTGTGAGAGCGAGCCTAGAATGACTTCAAGAGATCCCCGGCAGACCTCACTTCCTAAAGACTCCACAACCTCCCGATATCACCTCCCTGGGAACAACCTTGTATATACATTAAATATAAAGGGCTAATTTCTTTAATATGTAACGAGCCTTTACAAATAAATTAGGAAAATACTACCTCAACACAAAGTGGCAAAAGATAACAAAATATTGTGAATTTTAAACACACAAAAAATGTTCAAAGTTGCTTATGATAAATAAGTACTAATTAAAGCAACAGCAATATGCCATCAAATGCTAATAAACTTTTGACCACTTATTTTAGTGGCAAGTATCTGAAGAATCAAAATTTCTTATGTTTTATTTGTTGGAGCATAAGTTGATACAAGCCCTAGAGAGAGCAATTTAGTAACATCTAAATAAAAAATGTAGATAGTCTCTGACCTAAAAATTCCATTCCTAGGGATTTATCCTACATCTATGCTCAGGCTAGAGAACAATGATGTATATTTGAGAATATTCACTGCAGTGTTGTTTGTGAAAGCAGAAGGCATTGCTCAACTGAGAAATTATTTTTAATCTTAGTGTATTTCCATACAATTAAATCCTTTAAAAAATAATGTAGCATTTAATAAGGAGTGTGCTGAAGGAGAAAGTTCTCCTGAAGACCATTAATGAACACAGCAGGATGGAAGAGCAATCCTTACGCGTCTTACATTATGCACATGGCTAGAAGCTGGAGACAAAGCCGCCTCTGTGGCTAAGTGTATGGAGTGGACACAGGTAAGTGTGTGTCCATACACCCCTCTGTGCTTTGTGAACCACATGTATGCGGCATTCACGTTCACCTGTTTACAACTTGATGTTTTAATGGGAATGCAGGAGGTTATGCCACAAAGCTGGCTTCACGGAGGGACACGGGTGTGTGGGGGCCAGGCGCCAGGAACCAGCCTCACGCCCCGGCAAGGGGGGGCGATGTTTGCGCTAGAGATCAAAATTAAAGTGATGCGGAGGCAAGAAGAAATGAGAGTGAGGCTGAGTAAAAGCGGAGCGGCAGAGCGAGTGCTTGAAAGATGGATGAGGGAAGGGAAAAGGGGCTTCTGATGGAGACCTTTAGTTGTTGCTAATGAGCTGAACTTAGGGCCTGTGTATCTATAAGTAATAGTCACAGCACACTAGAGGGCCCTCCCCTACTGCATTGCATCGTCTGCCACAAATTGGCGGGGCATAATTTCTTCCCTGTTTATATTTAATCATCAGTGAGGATGTTGATACCATTTTTGAGGGCATGGGGATGGGATCTAATAACTTGGAGCAGGTCCTCAGACCAAAAGAGAGTGTGGGTAGTCATTAACTGCTTGTACCAACGGTACTGCAGGGCAAGTACCGAGCAGCAAAGGTAGACGTCGGGCTGTGTGCACACCAGGCTACCGGTTTATACTCAGCTTCAAAGAAGGATGTAGCTTACACAGACCTAGCAAAGGCACCGACATAATTAGACACTTGGAGGAAACACTTCTTGATGGCAGGGGGAGTGATTTCGATGGCAGCAATAATAAACACTGAGGCCATCTGTCCCTGTGGCAGGATCCTTCGCCAGCGACGGCCTCCACTCCTGCCTCCCCTGCCCCCACTTGGGAGCCTATTTCAGTTAGGAGTCCCAGACTCTGTCCAGGCTGCTACGACAAGGAAATCGGGGCTCCTCACAGCCAGCACGGTCGTCTTACTGACTTTCAGAGCAGGTGGGCGCTCCTTGCTGCGAGCATCCCTCTCCACAAACAGGCTGTGCTGTCAAGGGAGGGCTCAGCGCTGCTCTGTTCAAGGTTCAGAGTGGGGTTTCACTTATTCAATGAGGAATCGAACCTCTTTGGTTCTTCAAGTTGTAAGAGGACCATGACGGACGGACTCCATTTCCTAGTCATAAAAGCAGCCTGAAAACCAATGTCATTTAAACAGAACTGTTTCCTGAAGAAGAAGAAGAAAAAAAAAAAAAAAAAAAAAAAAAGGAGTGGCGGCGTGTCTTGGTTGTTCATGGACCACAGCCCTCTGACATCCAAATCAGTGAATCCATTATGCCAAAGGTAAGGAGCAGGAAGAGTCTTTTAGGCTAGATGGCAGCTCAGAGAGAGGCTGATTCCAGACTGCCATTCCTACCCAACCGACCGCACAGTGGTGGGACTGAGAGAGGACCCGCAGAGGCGGTAGGCAGTGTCTTAGGGCCCGCTGTTTTTTTTCTACAGGAGAAAAGGTTGATGGCTTTGTGTGAAGAGATTATTCCATCAAAATTTCCCTTTTTGCACCAGAGGTGGGAACAAAGAATAGAGATGATGCCGCAATCTTGATCTCTACAACCTCATTTGAAGTCATTCTCTGTGATTTAAAGTTTTCTGGAAATGAAAAGGGTAAATGGTGTGAACTTAGTTAAAGTTGGGAAGAAAAGTTGATCGGACAGCCTGTTGTCAAGGAAACCATCTCTCTCTCTCTCTCTCTCTCTCTCTCTCTCTCTCTCTCTCTGTGTGTGTGTGTGTGTGTGTCTGTGTGTGTGTGTGTGTGTGTGTGTGTGTGTGTGTGTGTGTACATGTGGTATCCTTTATACTCTTCATCTGACATTTAAGAATAATTCTTAGGTATCCAAAGCTTCCATACTAAAAACATAAAAAAAAAAAATCTCCAAGAAAGTGATTTCTACAATTTAAAATCAGGGAGAACTTTCTCTAACTCTGGTGGAGACAGCATCCTGCTGAATCAGCATCACGGGTGGTCACTACAGTCAGGGTCAAGGCCATTGCCGAGTGAGGTTGAAAAGGCGACAAGACATCACCCGGGTAAGAAAAAAGGCAAACAACTCAGCCCCTTGATACATTATTGAGTAAGTATCATGCTTAGAGCCAGAAGCCACACGTGAAAAGTAAAACTTGAGTGAAGTCCTCCATTCAGAGACCACAGAGAGAAAGAAGGAGGGCTTATTGCTTAGAGACAATTGTTGCCTCCCACCACCCCACAGGAGGAGTATCCCTCCCTGATGCATCAACATCAAGCTTGGCCGAGGGACTTTGTTGCCTCACAGTGGCCACAGCATGCTCCCTGCTCCAGTTCTGAGTCTGGCTTGGCAGGAAGGGTGCCAGCACGCATGCTCGGCAGTGCTCCTTGCTCTGCCGCAAGAGTCTCTGCTTTCCCACAAGAGCACCCTGCCCTCGTGAGCCTGAGGGACGATGGGAAACATGAGAGGCAGACCTGCCCGGAGGAGCCTCCTCCCTGGCCGACACAGGAAACCCAGAAAGTCCTTCCAGCCAGGTGGACTTAGACTGGCCAACCTCAGCCAACTCTCAGATGAATGAGAAATTATAAAGTTGGGTGGTGTGTAACACAGCAGTAACAGACAAGTACAGAGAACATCGACCACAACAGCTTAACTTTTTACTTTCTCACAGCCATCTAAGAAAGTAGAAATGGGTAACCGCTTGTACTTCTGGGTATACCCAGAAGAATCACCATCATATTGCATTGAATTACTATACCACAAAGACCTCGAGCCAATACCTTCCCAAAGCAGCCCTGAGAGAAAACAGGGCCAGATCTTTTAGGCAGAAAGGTTTACAAACAACTGAACTCATCAGAGCAGACAAAGCAGTTCCACAGAACCTTCGTGCACCTAGAAAAATGACTGCTGGCCTGAAGATGTAGGAGAAGCGACTGAAAGTCACCCAGTGGCTGAGGAGGAACCATGTGAAAACGGACTGAAAGGATGGGGACCCTGGTGAGCACAGATCCATACTGGAAAGCAAAAAGAGCCAAGTCTTCCAGAACTTGAAGATAGCAAATGATCTAAGCAAAGATTCAGCACAAACATCCTGAGTCATAAAAAGCTTAAAAGAGGGGCTGGAGAGATGTCCCAGCAGTTAAGATCATTTGCTGCTCTTGCAGAGGACCCAGGTTCAGTTCCCAGCACCCACATTTGGCTTACAACCATCTGTAATGCCAGTTCCAGAGAATCTGATGCCCTCTTCTGGCTCCAACAAGCTCCTGCATGCACATGGTACATATACACATGCATATAAATTAAAAATAAATAAGTCTTTAAAAAAGAAAGAAAGAAAGAAAGAAAGAAAGAAAGAAAGAAAGAAAGAAAGAAAGAAAGAAAGAAAGGAAGGAAGAAAGAAAGACAGCAAATAGAAAAAATCCAAGAAAAATAAAGGGAATGTTACTTTTTGTGGCCACGAACAAGGAGACCAGGTGTCCCAGTGTATCCAGGACAGGCTTGGTCACACGATTGTCATAGGTCATTATTTACAGAACTTATTTCCAGTGCCAGAAGTGTGCCAGGTTAGCCAACAGTAACATCCCAGTTGGTGGTATACCTCGCCCACAGGATGGAACAATACAGGTCCAAATAAGATATGTATTTGTATACATGTGTGCACTGTCGTGTACTTATCCCTAGGCATCTTCACAAACAAACAGTTCAACTGTTTATGACAGTCCCATTACCACCATGACTTCCACATCAGTTCAACATGAGAAATGAAAACATATATAAGAGAATCGGAGTTTTCCCCTTACCCACACAGAGGCCCATATTGTTCCCTGAGTTCCAATTGGCTCTCCCAAAAACCCTGGAGGAAAAAAAAACAAACAAACACACAGCACCATGGTAAGAATAAAATTGAGCAAAATTTCAATGATTCCAACTTATTCAGAAAAAAAAATCAGAACAGCAAGAACACAATTACATAAACAATAAAAGAAGAATCACCATTATATTGCATTGAATTACTATAGAATATTGGGTAAAGAAATGGCTTTTAAAAAATATTGCTGAGTAAAACTTTCAGCAGCTCTATTTAATGGACAGAAGAGACCACAAGCACTTAAACTATCTGCATATAATTGCTGCTCACACATCTGAAAACTATTTGCTTTCACATCTACTATATTCCTCTCAGATGTGGCTCTTGTTTGCCAAGTCCCCTTTCACGGCCCTCATACATGTAAACTTCAGCATGTACCCAAGTTATCACAAATTCCAGATTCTCATGATCTGAGTGACATGTCAAACAAGAGATTCCAAACCTAAGGCCCCCAGCATGGTTTTTAATAGGCTGAAACTTTAGGGTACCAGAAAACATGCATGGGGTGAAATTGGTGGCCCCTTGTGCTGTAAGGATGGCGCTGAAGTGGACATCGACAGTGAACATAAACAGGTGTTGTTAGAATTCTGCCCTCACTCCAGCTACACGACTGCACTTGCGCCGCTTATCTTTCATTTCAGGTGTGATAGGACATCACATGGGCAGGCACTGGTAAACATGAGATGTGGTGGGAAGGACATATATGTGAAAACATGCATGTGTTGGGAAAGGTATGGGTGGAAAATGCTGGATCTGAGTCACAGGGATGGAGGGTAGGAGGGCTGTGGGTTAGAGAAAGCACATGTCCTGAATGGATCTATGCCCTGTTCTCAGTAACTCCGCACTGCACGGTGAAAGCCTGGACTGTAGCAAGGAAAGCCTAGATGAACAGAAGAAGAGTGTAAATTCAGGGCCCCGCCCACAGACCAAGAACTACATGCAACTAAGAAATGCAGAGACAGGAGAAATAGTCCTCCCTGGGGATTAACCCCCTACTTAGTGATCCAGTACCAAGTGGTCAGCTCTGAAATCACATACATATAAGTAACACTAATGGCCCTGAGCAAGTTGTGTCTACACATCTTTACATATAAACTAAAGAAGACGAGGTCGTGTTTTGAGAGGGAACAGGGAGGCATATGGGAGATAATGGAGAGAGGGAAAGCAGAAAATGATGTAATTATATTTTAATTAAAAAATATATGCAAGTACCTCAGGTGGGTGCCCAGGAGATTAGTGAGTCTAAGTTTTTATAAACGTCTCTAATGACTTGACTTCCCTGTTCAGGGAGAGGGGCATCGTGTCGCAACATTTGTAAAGCAAACTTGGAAAAGTGTAGGTAAAGGAATGACCTGTGCCTTTGCTGCTGCGGTCTAGCGAGAACATGGCAGAGTCTATATTCACAAGGACGATGAGCTGAAAGGAACTGATGTAGACATTCTCCAGAGCCAGCCAGCCAGGGTTCTCCTTACATGACCGTTACTCGGTCTGCCTCCAGATGTTAATACCAAGTACATTTTACTCACCTGACCGACTGTCTGATGGTTTCTGCCAACCCTACAGCGTATGGAATTTATTTGCTTTCAATTCCCTATATGGCTTGCTTGTTCTATTTTGACACTTTTAAATCTCTTCACACTTGCTTCAAGAGGGTGTAGGAGGCCTGTTGGGGTGATTGTTTGTGGGCTTAAAAGTTGTGAACCAGGCACCCCACAGGGAGAGATGAGAGAAGAGGGTGTTGGGAAAGCAGAGGAGAGGGAAATGCCAGCAACAAATGGTGAAGAAAGACAGAGGAAGAAAAAGAAAGGAGATTGAGAAGTGGCAGGCAAAAGGCCAGATGTAGGTCATTCTCTGCCTAGGGG